CTGCTATATATTATACTTGTTTGAATGGAACAAGACATGCTTTGTACTTACCTTGTTAATTCCCAGGATAGCTTCCCTGTGGCAAAACTCATAGAAGTGAGTGAATTGCTACAACAGATGGTATAATCCCAGCTAAACTGCTTGATATATCCTTGCACAAAAGTCACGTGGACAAGAAACATGAATGGTTTTAGAGTGATTAAGTTGGTTGGCTTATACCAAAGTCTTTAACGTCATAAACTCAGCCTCTGGGATGAACACTTAGTATTAATGTATAAATAACCTCTTTATTTAATTTTCTCTTCTTCCCTGTATTTACTTAATTTCTTAAAAATAAATTATTTTGTTAAAGCTTCTCACAAGTCCAGGGTCGTCTCTACTGGGAAGACAAACAATATTCTTGCATATAAGACATGATGAAGCAATACATTTATGGTTAGTCTTTGAGTGAGCTTCTCTATTTTCATTAATTTTTGTTCAATACATAGAGCATTTATGTGTAGGTGTTAAAAATGCATGATTTAGAAGAGGGCTGGAGACTCAACAGAACTGTAGTTCTTAGTTCTAACAGAAAAAAAATAGGAACTGACTAGCAATGGTCAGCAATAACAATGAGCCCCATATCATGCAGGTTGTGGCCTGTAAATGCCTTCTCCACTGAAGATTCCAGTCATTTCTTCCACTGGGATAGGAAATGTGAAAAATAAATTTGGAGAATACTGGGATCGAATGGGAACTAAGGAGCTAAGTTAAAGAGACTCCCATTGGCTCAAGGTGACAAACAATAAAGAAAACAATAAAATGAGTTGAAAGATAAATATGTTTAGATCGGAGTTCATAATGAAACTTGAACACAAAATTCACTAGTCATGCTCGGACAAGGCTAGGAAACCACTATTTTGAAAACTAGTAAATCAAGGAAATTACATATTTATCTCTTGTCTTTCCTATGCAAATTGTACCTGAGGATAACAAAATAGTTGGTGAGGGGATATTTCTCCTTTTAGAAGTATTCCAGCTAATAAAGAAAGAATGGCAGAATTAAACTATTTGGCAACCCCAAATGCAACTTGATTATCAATGACTGCTCAGGCTCCAAAAAGAGACAGCCAGACATTAGTCCTCTTAAATCACACACCAGGTCTAGAAACAGTCTTACCAAAATATTCCAATCTAAGTGTGGTCAAGTCTCTAGATCAGCACTGTCCAATAGAAATGTGAGCCAAATATGTAATTGTACATCTCAATTCAAACCCAATTTCAATTCAAACTCTCAATTTCTAGTGCCCAATAGCCATACACGGCTACCATATCAGACAGTACAGCTCTAACCACTAAATTATAAGAAATACAGAACAGAGGAACATGCTATCCCAAGGGTGCGATTAGCAAAATCCAGACTGGGAACTTTAAGGAAAAAAGGACCTCATTTTTTCAAGCAAAACATTACAAGGGAGAGAAAGAGTGCAAAGTGCATGGGAGTAAGTCTCTTAAGATCATCAGAAACTTAACAGACATATCACCCAACAATGCATAGACTGCATCTACATCTTGATTTGAACAGTGTAAAACACACATTTGTGAGATAAGGAAATTTGAACACTGATTTTTTTTCCTATTATGGAGTTATTCGTTTTGTTAGGTGTGATAGGGCACTGTGGTTACATTTTAAAAACATCCTTTAGGGCTATATACTGAAAATGTATAAAGTAATACGATATCTGGGATTTGCTTCAAAATAATCCAGAGTGAGTGGTGGGGTACAGATGAAACAGGCTTGTCCAGGAGTTGACAATTATTTGAAGCTGGGAGATGGATATATGGGGGAAAATTATATTATCTTTACTTTTGACATGTTTGAAATTTTGCACAATACTTTATTATTATTAATTTTAGATAGGAAGGGAGAAACATCAATGTGAGAGAGATACACTGATTGGTTGCCTCTGTACACACCCTGCCAGGGATTGAACCTGCAAGCTAGGTGTGTGCCCTGTTAACTCTGTAATGCACATTACATCAAACTGGTGACCTTCCAGTGGACGACACTCCAACCCAGTCACACCAGCCAGGACTGCACAATTTTTTTTAAAATATATTTTATTGATTTTTTACAGAGAGGAAGGGAGAGGAATAGAGTTAGAAACATCGATCAGCTGCCTCCTGCACACCTCCTCCTGGGGATGTGCCCGCAACCAAGGTACATGCCCTTGACCGGAATCGAGCCTGGGACCCTTCAGTCCGCAGGCTGACGCTCTATCCACTGAGCCAAACCGGTTAGGGCTGCACTTTTTAAATAAAAGACTGTGGGATAAGATTACAATGGCACTGTCCATATTCTCAGAAGAATCATTCATTAAAGATACCACTGTAAGTCTTTCTTTCTAATCCCATAAAGTACCAGTGCCTGCAGCCACCACCACTGAAGGCAACAAACCAAGAAAAACTTACAAAACAAAAACCAGACAAAGAAAACACTCGCTTTATTAAAACACTGAAGTTGCCAGAGGAAAGAGGGAATGGTTTTTCCCACCTGGCATTAAACACCTTTTCCTTGGGTTGTGCTGCCTGAGTTTTCCTGAGTCCCTGCTTTACCCTCCCTGACCCATCAATGCAGATGTCTTAGTGGCAAGGCTATCTGGACACCAAACATACAATGTACTGTACCAGTCCTCTTTTATTTCTATGTTCCTGCACCTCATCAGGGAGCAAATGGTGGAGATTTATCCCAAAAGGGCACACAAGCCTATGGGGTCAAGTGAAGCTAATCACATCAGATTTCAGATTATGAGCTTAGACACACTTTGGAGGAGTGCTGGCTCATATACTGTTAACTCTGTAATGCACATTACGTAAATTTAACAGTGCAAATTAAACAACGGAAAAGGACAAAGGTTTTAGCATCTTGCACCCAACAGCTTCTGATGATATGAAGTCATTTCTAAGGTTGATGGTGTCCTTCCCTAACTACCCAGAGTTGATTCCACAGAGTTCGGTGGTGTAGACTCACTCTCCTCTTACAAGTGCCTATTTAATAAACTTGAATTTTAGAGTGAAAATGTCTTATTGGTGTGAAAGTGTGTGCAGTGATTTGGGAGGCAACAAATTGAGAGCAAAGGCTCAAACTAAAAAATAAAAATATTTATTTAGGTTTTTGGAATATAAATAACAATAAATGACAAAAGGCAAAATAAAACAGAAAAACTGACATGTTATATCACTGATCATCTCCAGGCACAAGAGCATTTATTAATGAATATAAAAAAATAAACTTCATTATTTTTATCTGCTTTCCCCCCAACTTTAACTACATGAATATTCCTAAGAAATTCCACAGTTATACCGGCCCCTTCTGAGTACATGAGGTTAAGGTCCTACTCCCATAGGGAAATAAATTTCTATCTTCAGGGATTCTGAAAAACTAGACCTCCAGGAACTTACAAAGCAGTTCCTTTCATTAGGATCCTTCTAACATAGGGAGAATGCAGCCGTCACCCAACAAAACACGAACCAGTGTAGATGTAGGTACTCCTCAGGTGTCCTGAGATCTCCAAATGAGTACCCGACTAAGCCACCAGCTTTACGCCAGCCCAGCCTGCGGCCCACAGCCTCTCAAGCTGCACCAAAAGTGGGCTTCACAGATAAAGTATCTTTCCCCTTTCTTCCTGGAAGTTAGAGGGCTACACGGGTAGGAAGGATATGGAGGTTTTGCATCAAGCTTGCCTTCACACTCTGTACCAGGGGAGGGCTACTAAACTACCCAGAGCACACCTGTGTTGAGTGTATGGCATGTACTTACCCACTGCCACACAGGAAGTTGAGTAAATTAGCCAGTCACTCTGGACCAAGCCCCTCAAAACAGGCAAATTCAGTGAGCCAAGGCATGTGGCAATAGCCCCAGTTCACCTAGGTCCTTTCCAAAGAACCATATTAATCTGATCCCAAAGCACATTTGGCTAGGACAGAGCATGGTAGGAAAATGGAACTTCTGGGAAGGGCCATGCCATGTGGAGTTTCCAGGTTGTTGTTTGGTCTGCAGCACAAGAAGATGGCAGCATCGCTAATATTCAGAGCTGGAGAGAGTGTTGCCTGGTCCACACTCCTGGAGCGTCTTTACTAAGGCAGCTTAATGGCGGTTGCCCAGATGTCGTTGCTGGGAAGCGGCGGAAGGACCCATCCTTGGGGAACAGAGTTGCCTTCAGGATGATCAGATGGCACCAGGTACTGATCCCAATCATGCCTTAATAGGAAATTATAAAACAACTGTTTATTTCTGTTTTAGTCCAAGCCAGATGTTCAGCAACTAAATATTCTATTTCAGGACTTACCTTTCCAATGACTGATGTACTAAAGAACTAGACTATCGGGGATTATGCAAAAGACTGCATTTCTTAAATATACATATAAAGGGGGGGAAACTCCAAAGAACTTACAGTCATTTAAAAAAATGTGTTTTTATTGATTTTAGAGAGAGAGGAAGGGAAAGATAGATAGAAACATCAACGAGGAGAGAGAATCATTGATTGACTGCCTCCTGCATGCCCCACACTGGGAATTGAGCCCACAACCCAGGGATATGCCGAGAATCGAACCATGACCTCCTGGTTCACAGGTTGACTGAGCCACTCTCATCATTGATGTTCCTATCTCTCTCCCTCTCCCTTCCTCTCTGAAATCAATAAAAAAATATATTTTAAGAAAGATATATTAAATGAGGTGTCTTTAAAAAGAAATACACATAAAACAATATTATGCATTGATCAGTTGACAAAAATGTGGCCAGAGGCTCACTGAAACCTAATCATATATTTCCTTTAGGAGCAGCAGCCGTTCAGTAGTCTCTAATTCAGTGTTTGTGGCTTTATAGAGCACAGCTACTGTAAATAACAAGAATTGACTATAGTTATGTTTAGAAGCTAAAACTTGTGTATTAGCCAGAAATGCACTTTCCTCAGACATCAACTTGGTATGCAAAGAGCATTGTTGGAGCTTTGGAAGGAACCTTAGAAATCACTTAGGTCCATGATTTTCAAACCAGGCTTTGAAGACCCCTGAGCCCCAAGTAGATGCTTTGGGAGTCTAGAAACAACGAAGTGCTTCCTATTAATAACAGATTTAAGTTACCTGTGGAACCCAGTCATTCATTCTGTTTTATAAACTGATTTGTCCAAAGACTGCATTTGGGAAGAGTACTACTGCCAAAGTTTGAAGGCCACATTCTTCATTTTATAGGTGAGGAAAGTGTGAGACCCAGAGAGCTGCAAAGTATAGCTCATTATGAACTGCATGTAAAGATGAGACTCTCTGTTCCTCGCTCTCTTGACTCTGACCTCTAAGAACTCACAAGTCGGCAGCACGGGTCTTCAACAGTCTCCATAGGCAAGTATACAGGGAGGGTCTGTTTAGCAGCAGAAGAGAACTAGAAAAGGTAGCCAGTGCTTTAAGTCAGCCTGGGAGAACACAAAAGGGCAAGTCACACCTGAGTTTGTTTCTTCACCTGTTAAAATAGGGACATCTATTTCTCAAGGATGAGTGAGGACTAAACAGATGTTTGTGGCATCCCTAACACTTGGAACCTTTATATAAACCCATTAGAAATTTTTTTAAAAAGATACAGGCGACATGGAGAGTGCCCCTCTGACCTTATTTGGATGAGTGCTGGCAGGGAGTGCTCAGCTTGGAGGTAATACTGTCTGAAAGGCTGCAAGAGGTGAGCGAGCGGGAACTCATCTGAAAAAGAAAAGGCACAATACCACACCATCACACTTCCTATCCAGAGTGTATGTCTCAAGGCAAGGTGACTGAGCCTATGATGACAACATGATCAAACGTGCTTCATCTTTATCCATGATTTCCAGGATATAGTTTAGGTGTCATTGTTGCCTACAATCTCTTAGCTTAGGTCGAGGTCACCCATGAGAATAAGTCAATCTAGTATTGTCCTTTTCTCCACTGGTTACAGAGGAACTTACCTGGATCCCCAAATAACTTGGACTCAATTTCCCGCTTCTGCAATAAAATTTTCTCTTTTTCTTTCCTCTGTTTCTTTTCTAGTTCTCTCTTCCTCTCTTCCTCTTGTTCTCCTTCCAACATGACTCTGAGGGCTCTCTCTTCAGCTTCATATAGTTCAGAGCGTTTTTTAATGAGTTTTCTCAGTCGCTGAAGATGATGCTCAAAAGTCTCATCTGCTGAGGCTGGAGGACAGACCCCTGGGCAAAGAGATGCAAATGGCATTTTAGTTAAAGCTTTTTCTTATCTCCAAATCTGTGTTCTAATGAGCCAACTCAAAGTCCTACTGATAGTGTGAATTTGCTTAGCATTTATAAATTCTAATCCCTCTTCACAGATCAATTTGAATCTGCAATTAATCTGACCCCACCCTGACTTTCTTTTTTCTCTAATTCCTCTTTCTGGAAACTACCACTTAACTTTTGATTTTGTTTCTAAAGGTTTTGATCCTGCAGTTGGAGAGTGGGCTCCCAAAAGGAAAAAACTGTCTTATATTCTTCATTTTGAAATTCCCACTGCTAATAAACAATTCTCCCTTTAAGTGTGAAGTTCTGGGAAAGCACCCATGGATACTGAGAAGAAATACATTTAACCAACCACACTAGCCTCACAATGTGCTGCTGAGAGTAGGGTGACCAAATGTTTCAGTTTGCCCAGTTTTAGCACTTGAAAACCCAGTGTCCTGGGAAACCTGGGATGGTTGGTCACCCTGATTTAATTGTGAGATCAGCTAATTGTATAGCCAACATAGCTACAGCCACAACGGGGAACATTTTAGACTAGTTGTTAGGTGATATGCAAGAATTATTACTAATTTTATGTGATAATGGCATCATAATTGATGATGAATTACTTAGGCATTCTATTTTTGTACACATGTGAAAGTTTTCATAAAATTTTATAAGGAAAACTTTTTGAGATTTATTGAATATTCAAGTAGGTTGCAATAGTGACTCACTACCATAATGGCCCTCAATAAAAAAGTTGCCGAAGCTAATTCATCCTACATTGATGTGTGCTCAATCCTATTAGTCCTTAAAGCTTGTAAAGGAAAATGTATGTACTGCGGCAGTATTTTAACAATACCAGATACATGGAATAAAAAAATCCTAATTCTGCTAACATAATCAACCCTTTTTATTTCCCCATATTGATCCTCCAGCCATTTTTGTCCATATATTAGCAACTTCACATAGTTCAATGTAAAACGTGTGTAACTTACATATCTCCATGTCAATTCTCTACATTTTTTTTCCTCTCCTTATAATTATTTAATGGCTCCATCCTGTTTCACCAAATCAATGTACCTACCATAATTTACTTAATAAGCTCTCTAGTCTGGACAGTTAGGCTGTTCCAAATGACTTATCATATAATGCTACAATGAATAATCTTAGGCACCATGGGGCCTCATCCGGTTTTTGGACCTTGGCATAGTGAGAAAAAACTTTCCACCCTGAAATCTTACACCCAAATATTCTCTTCTCTGATAACTTCCTACCATTTCAGTATTCTCACCTTCTTCTCCCTCAAGATTCTGTGAATTTCATTAAAATCTCTCATCGAATGTATCAGAGTCTGCCCATCTTCTATTTGTTCTCACCCAAACTTGTAGTCACCCACAAAGCAAAACCCCAACAGCCCCGTGCTCTGTGCTCACGTGCTAGCTGTAGGGTGAAGCCATTTGATTACTGGCCTGGCGCCAGTTTACAGTTACATCAGCTGGGCCCATAGCCCCTCCCTGCAGCCACACTGCCATGGGTCTCTGCTTGGCCCTCACTCACTGCTCATTTCACCACTCTCCGAAAGTCCTACTTCTCTATTGACCCTCAGAGCAAAACCTCTAATCCAGCCGTGGGCAAACTACGGCCCTTGGGCCGAATCCGGCCGTTTGAAATGAATAAAACTAAAAAAAAAGACCGTACCCTTTTATGTAATGATGTTTACTTTGAATTTATATTAGTTCACACAAACACTCCATCCATGCTTTTGTTCCGGCCCTCTGGTCCAGTTTAAGAACCCATTGTGGCCCTCGAGTCAAAAAGTTTGCCCACCCCTGGGCTAATCTATTTCCCGGAGGAGACAGGCCACCAGGAAGGGGAATTCCCTAACTTTCTGCCCCCAGTTCCACTCACCTGCTTACTGCCCGTCACCGTCTCCGTCATTTCATTCCAGTAGAAGATGGTTCTTCTCCACTTCCGTTAACCCCTCCACCAGGGACCTGAATCTGACTCCCTCCGCCAAGACCTTGCGCCATCAACTATTCCTCTGCTTCTCGCTGATCTTCCTCCCTCTATTCATACTCACTCCTTGGCTCAGGATTTAAACATTTTCAAGTTTTTCCCATGACCCTAAGGTAGCACCCCTTACCCGATCCCCCCCCCCACCCCCGCCCCATAGACACTGGCGGATGCTGACTTTGTACTCTCCTCTCCTTTACAGGCAAATGTTTAATGCGTTGATCTCACTGTCTGCTTTTCTTATGTCCTACTCCGTCTTTACTCGACTTGAGTCGGGCTTCTACTTCTACCACCCCCTGAAATGCCCCTAGCGCAGTCACTAATTACCATGGATGTCTCTCAAGCTTTTTATTACTTGAAAATAAAAGTAAGATGAAACACGTGTATGGCATTTACTATGTGCCAGGAATACTTTAAACACTTAACTCATGTCTACTAATTTAATCACCACAACACCCCATGGGTAGGTACTATCATTATTCCCTCCTTACAGAGGAGGACACCAACGCATAAAGAAGTTTAAGTAAACGTGCCAAGATTGCACAATCTCTGTGAGCGTTTGCCACTCTGCAGAAGAAGTAGCCGGTCTACCTTTTCCTCCTCTCTCTCTGACCTCTCTCGATCTCCTCTGTGGAATCCTCTTTATTCATCTTGATATTGTCTTTCTGGCTCTCATTTCACACTACACAACCTCTTTAAGGTCTGTTTACATGCTGATGAACCCTTATCCAGAGTGTCCCACAGGCACCTCAAACTCAACAGGTCCCAAACTGAACTCATCAACCCAAAGCCTCCTGCTGTTTTCCTGGTCATTTAGAATGGTATCATCATTCATTCAGTGGATCAAGCTACAACCTGGAAGCCATTTTTTTTTCCAGCTCCCATATGCTGAGTTCCCCAAGTTATTAATTTATATGTACACACACACACACACATACACTCTCTTTATTCATATCTCTTAAATCCATTTACTTTTCTCCTACTGTGGTCCTTAGTTCACACTCCCATACTATCCCAGCCCAGACTATGACAACCTTTATCAGTCTCTCTTCCTAGATCAGTGATGGCGAACCTTTTGAGCTCGGCGTGTCAGCATTTTGAAAAACCCTAACTTAACTCTGGTGCCGTGTCTCACAAAGAATTTTTTGATATTTGCAACCATAGTAAAACAAAGACGTATATTTTTGATATTTATTTTATATATTTAAATGCGCCCACAACCTAGGCATGTGCCCTTGACCTGAATCGATGAGCCCGGGACCCTTCAGTCCACAGGCTGATGCTCTATCCACTGAGCCAAACCAGCTAGGGCCCATAGGACACTTCGTGATGTGACCCTTCTTACATATCCAGCCTCATTCTCTCAGCACTTACTTGGAGGTACATACGCCTTGAAGAAAGAAGTTAGAAAGCTGCTTGTTTTCTTTTAAAGTACACAAGGCAATCAGCTACTCGTTACCAAATCATTTTACATTCAAGTCAATTAACTCCACATAGCCTGCTTATTATATAGACCATAATTCCTCCTAAAATTTCCTCTTTCTTTTAGACCAAATAGAGGGGAGACTAACAGTGAGAAATTATGCTGGTAAATTCACTTGGCAGATATTACTGACCCTCACCTCACAGAGGACATGGAGCAGAGGAACATTAAATAGTAGTCCTCAAGTTTTGCATTCTCATAAGCAAGAGGCATGGGTAGGCACAGTAGAAGCAAATCTAGATGACCCACAGTAGGTGATTCACAAATGCCCTACAGAATCATCTGTGTGAGGCCTGAATCTGAATCAGCCACGCTAAGGGCTGGCATGCAGAAGCTCATCACTTAGCTAGTGAGTAAGACTGGCTGAATGCACAATGATCACGTCCAAATGCACAAAACTTTTTTAAAAATATATTTTTATTGATTTCAGAGAGGAAGGGAGAGGGAGAGAGAGAGAAATATCAATGATGAGAGAGAATCATTGATTGGGTGCCTTCCGCATGCTTCCACTGGGGATCGAACCTGCAACCCAGGCATGTGTCCTTGACTAAAATCGAACCCGAGACCTTCCAGTCCGCAGGCCCATGCTCTATCCACTGAGCCAAACCAGTTAGGGCCCAACAAAACTTTTTATTGCCCTGACTGGTTTGGCTCAGTGGATAGAGTGTCGGCCTGTGGACTGAAAGGTCCCAGGTTCGATTCCGGTCAAGGGCATGTACCTGGGTTCCAGGCACATCCCCAGTAGGAGGTGTGCAGGAGGCAGCTGATCAATGTTTCTCTCTCATAGATGTTTCTAACTCTCTATCTCTCTCCCTTCCTCTCTGTAAAAAATCAATAAAATATATCATAAAAAAAACCCACTTTTTATTAAGGGTCTGAATTATAGTTTTAATTTATTATATTTTAAACCAAACAGAGGAATTCATTTGCTATCGTGGTATTTGCTCATTTGTGTACTCACAAATATCCCTGGTGAATGTCAATGGCCTACAACCTACTAAATAAGGCAGCATGTGGCCCAAACCAGGTGCAAGTGAGAAGGAGCAGGAGGTCACCTCAGCCCAGAGCAGAGAAGGATGGGAGATATGTCATCTAAATTTGGTTTTGAAGGATAGTGAGAGCTTAAAATAGCAAAGATGGGACTAAGGGCCCTCCAGCCAAATCCCATTCACACCTCTTCAAATAGCCATGATTCAGATTTGAAATGTATCTGAAGGAACATGCCAAGTTTTCAACACCTTCTGAAGCCTCAATAAGGACAAGATAGGATAGCTTTCACCTTGGCACATGGGTAAAGCTGAGCAGCCCTGTCAACCTCACTCAGAAAAATGTGGCCAGGAACGCCTGGGGTGGGAATGATGAGTCCAGGGGAAGACGGTGCAGTGGGTTCCCACACCTGCCTCTCTTTTCAACCTGGGCTACCAAGAGCTAAACATCAGAGGGTTTCTACTTCAAAGGTTCTGAGACACTGCTGACAAGCTCAGTTACCTTACTGGGTGAAAAATTTGAAGCATCAAGCATTTTCCTTCAAGATTTTTGGGGAAGGGCAAGCACTATGGTAAAGAAAGGGAGGGAACAGGGGAACAAAGGAAGAAATGCCAGTAGAAGTGCAAAGCCACAGTTACCTTTCCTTGCTGCAGCCTCTTTCCTGAGTTTCCTCAATTTCTCCAAGGCCCGAAGAATGTCCACCATTCTTTTGGTGTCTGCTTGTTTTTTCCTCACTTCAGACAAGACACCATCGGCAGCAGCTTTAAGTTCCTGCTCCTGGGGAAGAAAGAGAGCCCATCAGAACAGCTGCCCAGCAGTGAGATTTTAGAGAATCAGACAGTCCCAGGGTTAAGAAAGATTCTACTGGATTTACACCCCAATTCCCTGGGCCATGCCCAAGCACCTCTCTACACTGGTCCAGCCAAAGAATTATCCTCTCTGCACTTCCACGTGGACACTGTTTTTTCTTCCTCAGAGTTTCTAAAGTGTGGTCTAAGGAACATCTGCATTCAACTTACCTTGTTAAGTTGGGGCTCTCATTAAACATGAAAACACCTGGCCCTGGCTGGGGGGGCAGGAGGGGGGTCCCAGTTGGCTGGAATATTGTCCTATGCGCCAAAAGGCTGTAGGTTCAATTCCCAAACAGGGCACATACCTAGGTTGCAGGTTCAATCCCCAGTTGGGGCATGTACAGGAAGCAACCAATCAATGCTTCTCTCTCAGACCAATGTTTCTCTCTCTCTCCCCACCCCCTTCCTCTACTAAAACAAATAAACATATCCTTGGGTGAAGACTTAAAAAAAAAAAAGCAGACCCCTGGATCCAAAGATTGAGGGTAGCAGGGAAGATAAGGAATCTTATCCTATACTAGAAGCCCAGTGCACAAAAATTTGTGCACTTGGGGGGGGGGCCCTCAGCCCGGCCTGTGCCCTCTCGCAGTCTGGGACCCCTCGGGAGATAACGACCTGCTGGCTTAGGCCTGCTCCCGGGTGGCAGAGGGCAGGCCCAATCCCTAGGTGCAGCCCTTTGTCGGGCTCAGAGCAGGGCCGATTGGGGAGTTGGGACACCGCCCCCTGTCACACTCAAGGCAGGGTCGATGGAGAGGTTGCGGCGCCACCTCCTGTCATACACAGAGCAGGGCCAATCAGGGGGTTGGGGCACTGCCCCTGTCACACACAGAGCAGGTGCCAGGCCTTCCTTGCCCCGGCAGGGTTTCCCAGAGGAGGAGGCACCAGGGGTAGGTTCTGAAGGAGGAAGTGTTTTCCAGGCAGAAAACATTCCTGCCTTCAGCAAACACTCCCTGCTCCCCGCCCCATGTTAGGGACACCGACAGGTCTCAGCCTTGGAGCCTCCGTCCAGACTGGAGTCAGTTGGAGGCTCCAAGGGGGGCTAGTAAACTACCCCCGCCCCCGTCCCCATGCTGATCTTCCTTGAGGGGCAGGGAAGGCTTCCCTCAATAGATACTTTCGGTTTAAATATTGAGGTATGAGTAGGAGCTGGCCTCAACCCCCCAGGTTCAGCTGGGTAAACTGAGGCTCAGAGAGGTCAGTGGCCCAATTGAAGCCCCATAGGTAGTTCAGGGTGGGGACGTGAATGACCAGCAGAGTCTGGATAGGCAGGGAGGGAAGGGGGGTC